TCCACAGCTGAGCGTCCTTTGTTTCTGGTCATGGGGTTTTCTTGGCAAAGATACTGGAGTAGGTTGCCAGTTCCTACTCCAGGTGGATCGCGTTTAGTCAGAAGTCTTCATTATGACCTCTCCGTCTTGGGTGTCCCTGGCCATAGCTTCTCTGAGTTACTCAAGCCCCTTCACCACAACAAGGCAGCAATCCGTGAAGGGGTAGTATGCGTAGGTGCTAGCAAAAATAGTTTTCAAGATGTTGCATGGCTCGAATAAAAGTTCAAGATGTTGCATGGCTGGAATAAACACAATATGAATATAAGCTGAATCAGGATTGTATAAGTTGCGTAACAAACCTTATCTCTACATTGGAGAAACCAAACAGCCACTAAACAAGAGAATGGTCCAGCGCAGGAGAGGCAATGGTTCAGGACCACAATCAGCAGTGTTCCTTCATTTGAAGGACAAAGGACACTCATTTGATGACCAAGATGTACTAATTTTGGACCAAGAAGATAAGTGGTTTGAAAGGGGTTAGGAAGGCCATACATGTACATATAGAAAATCCCTCACTCAACAGGGGTGGAGGTCTTAGATACAACCTGTCTCCTATTTATCATGTTACCCTTTCATCCTTCCCAAAAAAGATTAGGACTACAAACACCAGAAAGACCACTGTTAACAATCATTGACAACTCATGACAATGGGTGGAGGACTGCAGAAGTGAGATTATCCCTCGCCCTATGGAAGTTTGTCCATCTAACAGGCCTATTCAGACCAGGGGGAAGTGAAACCAATGTGGAGGATGTATCAGGGATCTCCTACCAACTCTCCTCAGACTGAAGAAGCTACTTAGATGAGTAATGACACATTTCAACCTAATAAGAAAGAAGTCCAGTTGCCATGACTCAACTTCCAGATAAACCTCACCTAGATAACTGAGAATCTTCACAGATACAAATGATAGCTGTTTTTCAACAAGTTCTCCAGGTATTAATTTGTGAGGCACAACAATCCCAAAGAAATTTCTGTGTAAGTGCAGACACCTGGATTATCATTAATGCTAGGATGAAACTTGGTTGTAACAACAACAGTGACTCATTCACCTAGGTCACTGGTTCTTAACCTTTGTTACTCAGATGTTTTTGGACTGCAACTCCCAGAAGCCTTCACCATCAGCTCTGCTGGCTGAGGTTTCTGGGAGTTGCAGTTCAAAAACACCTGAGTAACAAAGGTTAAGAACCACTGACCTAGGTGATCAATCATTTTATGTGTGAACTGGCCCTTTACCTGACTGTGTGTTTGGAGAGGGGTAGCTTTGAGTTCAGATTCCAGTGTCTGTGGATTCAGATAATTGAGGTCTTTTGTACTTCTTCCAATTTCCATGAAAAACACTTTCAGCTGACCATTGCTACGAGTCAAACATGACTTTGGTAACTGCTGCTACTGGTCTTATTTTCAAATCTTATATGCTGTCAATGTGCCAAACAGAACTTGATGATTATAATCCCTGTATTATGGAGGAGGCTTAGAGATCAACTGACATTCCTAGTGACATGTATGTCCTATGGAGCTTTGGATTGTTTCCAGTGAACATTCTTGTCTTTCAGTTTACATTGTTATTCTTAACTAGGACTGATGGCCTGTAAATAATTGCATAAGTTGTTTGTGGTTGGATGTTCATAGTCTCTACATAGCATCCGGAGAAAGAGAAACTGTGTTATTGAATTTGCCCATTTCTTCTTTGTGAATGTACAATTATGCATTCAAAATGATTCAAGGGAATTAATGCAATCATGCATTTAACTTATTTTAAAACTGAGTTGAAAAGGAAGGCCATTTAAAAAAACCAATAGCAAGTTGATGTAAAATGCATAGTTTTGTGCTTCAGTATCTATCTTGAGAGTCCCCTGGACTGCAAGGAGAACAAACCTATCAATTCTAAAGGAAATCAACCCTCAGTGCTCACTGGAAGGACAGATCCTGAAGCTGAGGCTCCAATACTTTGGCCATCGCATGAGAAGAGAAGACACCCTGGAAAAGACCCTGATGTTGGGAAAGTGTGAGGGAAAGAGGAGAAGGGGATGACAAGAGGGCGAGATGGCTGGACAGTGTCACCGAAGCGACCAACATGAATTTGACCAAACTCCGGGAGGCAATGGAAGACAGGAGGGCCTGGCGTGCTCTGGTCCATGGGGTCACGAAGAGTCGGATACGACTAAACAATAACAACAATCTATCATGAAAAAGAGCAGCAGAAACTCACTGAGTTCTTTAATATTTAACTTTAGTTACTCCAAGAATATTAGGGCAGCAAAACATATACTTCTTCTCAGTCTTCACCCCTATGTCAGCCACCCGAGGTAGGTTAAGCTCACTGAGAGTAACTGGCTACAGATCATCTGCTTCCTTTTAAACAGGTATTTCAAGAGTGTGACCTGCCTTTTCGGCCATTCAAGTTCAACCCGCCGCATTATTTGGCAGGGGCCAAAATAAATGCCTTTAAGTCTTTCTTGTTTCCCTAAACAGGGAAGACAGTCGCCTGCATTATCCCTCCACCAACTACAATGACCATCAGGCTTCTCCCGCTTCCTTAAATCAAGCCCGTAGAGCCCTCGAGACGTTTCCTCGACCGAAGTCAGCTTAAAACAGAACTCAGCTCCGGTCCCAAAACGAACATCTACCTCTAGATTAAGAGACGGCAACTCGAGGCGCCTCACAGGCTGGACTGCAACTCCCATCATCCCTCACCCTCCGGGGGCTCATGGGAGATGCAGTCCAGGGGAGTTCGAAAATCGCCCACCCCCCTCCCTATAACAACATCCTCCTGTCGCTTAGGGCCAGTCTCTCCAGCACAGAGCCAAAGGAACTTGCCCCGATCCGGTAACTGTCGTGTGCCCACCGGCCTCAGGGACGCTCGCCCTAGTGCCTTCCTCCCCCTCATCGGAGACCGCCCTTCTCTTTGCCGGACATGTATCGCCCTCCTCCATAGAAGGCCCATCAACACATCGATCTCGCGTGATCGAACGGATCGCGAGCCAATAAGCAGCTTCGTCCCCTTCTCCCTTGGTACGCGCCGGAATCCATCGGGGGCCAGCCTCCCCTCGAACTCTCCACCTCCCCTTGTCCGCCCCCGTCCTTTGGAATCCATATAAACTTCTGCCGCCACTCTTCGCGGCGCGGATTGGCACCTCCTTGGTTCCCATTGGTTCGGGCGCTGAGCGCATGCGCCTGCCGGGGAAAGAAGCCCCGACGGCCGTTCTTCTTTCCAACAGTTCCCGGCTGGGCGTTACGTCACCGTGGTCTGCGCGCGCCGCCTCCCCCCAGTTTTTCCTTTCCGTGTCGCGTGCGTGGTTGGTTCCTCTCCCCCCCCCTCACCTATCTCTCTTCACCTATCTCTCTCTCTCTCTCTCTCTCTCTCTTCCAACATGGCGGCGGGGGCTGGGGAAGAGCAGTTCCCGTTCCAAGGGCTCCTGCCTAAGAAGGAGACCGGCGCTGCTTCCTTCCTCGCCCGGTACCCGGAGTATGACGGACGGGGAGTCTTAATGGCCATTTTGGACACGGGTGTGGACCCCGGAGCGCCGGGCATGCAGGTCAGAGAGGCCGTGTGATACCTGTTGGTCTGGGGAATGCTCTTCCTCCTCCTCTACCTTCACTCCTCCCCCCCCCCCACACACATACCATCGATTTGGATGTATTAGGAAGTTTAATAGCCAGTTATTGTTATTGTTGGTAAAGCAGTTAAGGGACGAGTCAGTTAATGGTGGTGAAGATTCCTGTAGCAATTTTCTGAGCGGACACAGAGGCTGGCAAGCTGGGGGGGAGGGTCTGCTTGTGTAAGGGGTTTAAGGCCTTTGTAGTTCGTGGGGATTTTAACTTGGGGATTAAAAAAAAGATGCTAGGCAAATGTAGCTGTATTAAACTTGAAAACAAAAAAATGTAAGATGTTGGATGCACGTCTAGTTCAGTATCTTATTTCTTACAGGGACCACCAAAGTGCCGCAAACGCAACATAAACAAGAGAATAGGCATAATCAACAGGGTTCTGCTGTTGTCAGAATATGGAACTAGCTTGTAACTGTTGTAACCTATGGCCATTGGTGTTCTTAACTTTCTTATCTTAAATGTAAGCAGATGTATTACAAAATGAGCAGGCATCGTTGAGTGTCATGGCAAACCAGGATTTAATTGAAACTCTGGCTTATGGTTGATGAGCCACTATATTGGCCTTCTTTGTCAGTTGGTCCCACTTGGATTGGAGCAGCTAAACAAACCATGGGCCAAAAGTTTGTGCTCTGTTTTAGCACGACATCTGTAGCCTGCAGGAGTAGTCTGTCTGGATTGTCTCAAACAAAGCAGAATAATAATCTGTGATTGTGGTAAATTTGCATCTCTGGCTTTTTGTGGAAGAGAAAATCTAGAAAGCTGCCTTCTGCTAGGCTGAATGTTGCTTGAAACCATTGGCTGAGGATCCATTGTTAGTTTAGCCATTTGCTGCAAGTGGAAGCTGTCGGGCAGCTGGAGTCAGCGTACTGGTTTGGACACAACATGATTGGTGTGATGTTCAGACCTGGCCAGTGTCTGCTGGACACTCTTGTCCACAAAAGTTCTTGGTATAGTACAGGCCAAATAGTTCTTTCAGAGACAGAAGTTAAAGAACAATAAATTGTTTGTGTACAAGAAGTTGTGTGAATGACATTTGGGAGAGAGCTAGTAATTAGACAAAGGTGTTAACATGCCATCAAGTCCCTTCTGACTTATAGCAACCCTATGAATCAGTGACCTCCCAAGAAGTCCTATTGTCAATGGCCCTGCTTAGCTCAAATAAACTCAAGGCCGTGGACAAGGCATGCAGTATATAGTTAGGTGCAGTGTAGAACAGAATTATGTGTTGTAGTTCAATCCCATTCATCTTATCTACTGTGTTGAAAACAATAGCAAGTGAAAAAAGAATAAATGTCAAACATATTAACTCTCTTAGTATTTTAATGCTAGGTTTATTTATTTATTTGTTTGACTTGTATCTTGTGCATCTAGTGGTGAGCCACTACTCTAAGCAACTTACAAAGGAACATATAATGCAACATTAAAAAGCCAAACCAGTTCTGCACACAAGAGGTTGAGTAACTTCCTGTAACTATAGTTGTGTTTATTGTGTTTGGATTAATTATTTTCAACAGTGTGATTTCTAATCAGAATTAAATCTTAAGAGAACGCCTTGAATAATAATGGGTAAGAGAAGGAAGGAGGTAGTATTTATTTTGCCTGATGTGTGGGCACATCACTTGCTAAGTGGTAAATATCCCTTGCCCTTGTTAAATCAGATTAAAGTCAGTGACCACAAAATAGCATTCATAGACATATTGTAACACTGTTGCCTTCTCTGGAGCCTAAGATAGACTAACTACTACATGCAATTGTTGCTGTTGCTTCTTGTAGTAGGAGTGTGAGTGGAATCATAGATGTGGATCTTCTTGCTTGGACAGGAAATGACAGGTTCTTTTGCTGATCTTGCACCAAAATTTTATCTTTTTGTTTTAAAATAAAGAACATTAATGGGCAAAGAGAGAGGGGAGTCTCTTGACCATTATTTGTTGAAAGTCAAATAATGTTTGACTTTCAACAAATACTTAGCACTGTAGCAAACTTAGCACTGTAGCAAACATTCTACTTAAGCACTGTAGCAAACATTCTATAAAGCTTTGAGTTCAAAAAGGGTTGCTTCATGGTTTCTTCTTCCAGTCTAACAGCAACATTTTGTCTCTTTTAGGGATGAAGGTTCCTTAAACTTTTGGGACTAAATCCGGTTGCTAGATCCAACCAGAGTAGATTTATTAAATCAATGAGACTTACATTGATGATTCAGTGGATCTACTTTACTTGGGAGTAGAAATTGAATTTAGGCCTTGCATTGCTTTGCAAATATGTGAAATATTTTTTGAAAGGTGTGTAGAAATTTAACCTGTCATAAAATCAGCCAAAGTAAAACTTTTCTTATTTAAACTGACTGGGTTGATCTCATAAACTGGGAGAGATGAAAACATCGAATAGGTTCTGGTAAATTCTTGTAGAAGCTGTGCATCTGAATGTATGCAGATGATGGATATCTGACAAATGTCTTGAAAGGTTAGAGAGGTTCTGTTTAAATTAGGCATATTGTGATTATATTAACATTTACCTTTGGGGAAACCTTTGTACCATTAGACTTCATTAGTTATACAGAGTGTGGTTGCTGATTTGGTGTATGTTTACAGTTACTGTCATTTTTAGAAAATGTACTCTGTGTAGATTGGCATTCTTTAACTTTGAACAACCTCAGTGCAAATTTTAACAAGTCAGGTTCCCAGCAATTTGAAGGGAGAGTAAAAATCCATTGTTGTCAACCTTGAAAGTAAAATGTGTAGGGTTTCAAATGTTTTGTTTTATCGCTGTAGGTTTCAACGTTTTACCATTCTACCCAGAATGGGTATGGTCAATGCTTAGGTAGTTTATATTTTCTATGTGTAACTGATGAATAGCGATAAAACTAAGACTGCTGGTTAGTATTTTGCTCATACTGCTTCCAAGTTACCAAAGTAAATTTTGAGATTCTGTGTCCTATCAATCAGTTTTGCTCCTTTTTTGTTTTTACATATTTTTAAATAGTGTGTGTTGGATTGTTGAGTTTCCTGCTGTGTGAAGTCTGATGTGAAATCTAAATTAATCTCTTTTTCTTCAGAATTGCTTTTTGTGGCAATTTTTAAAAATTACTTATTATTTCCTGTCAAGAACATGTCTCTGTTCGCCATAGCCTCCCACCTGTCCTTTAAGATTATTAAGGTTGCAGTGATATCCTGTTTGCTAAACAACTTTATACTAATTTCTTCCTATTCCAGCCCACAATCCAGTGGAATGCAGGTTCACATATTTCTTGCCATAATTTCTTTAAGAAATGTCTCTGTGGGTGAAGGATTTTAATAGCCCTAATTGGTACTTCAGCCATAATTGGTTCAAGAATATTATCCTTGGATATGGTTTGCATTCCAGTTTTCTCGCATTGTTTATTTTCAAACTGCTGCTCTATAAACCTGCTTGCTTGCTAAGGCCTTTGTCATCAGTGAGGGTCTTCTTAAATGTTGTATCCAACGCAGTCAGGACCAGGGACAGGGCCTTCTCCTTAGCTGTATCTAGTTTCTGAAAGTCCTTCATGAGAGAGGCTCTTCTTCCTTTTCTTCCACCCATGACATTCAGCCATTTAATGAAAAGCCTTTTGGAAAACTCACATTACTCCACTTGGCTTCATCTGACCTCTAATTCTGGTACTGCTACCATGTTTCCGCGAAAACAAGACAGGGTTTTATATTAGTTTTTGCTCCAAATACGCATTAGGGCTTATTTTCAGGGGATGTTTTATTTTCTTCATGTACAACAATCTACATTTATTCAAACGCAGTCATGTCATCTTCTTCTGGTTGCTGCAATATGGTGGATGGCAGGGTTACACTTAACTGGGGCTTATTTTTGGGCTTATATTACAAGCATCTTGAAAAATCATACTAGAGCTTATTATCAGGACTCAGACCTGGGCAAAATGTGACCCTCTAGATGTTGCTGAACTGCAACTCCCAGCAATCCTATCCCACACAGCCAATAGTGAGGAGTGTTGGGATTTGCAGTTCAGCAACTTCTGGAGGGCCACACTTTGCCCAGGTCTGGGTTAGGTCTTATTTTCAGGGAAACGGGGTATATTTTTCCTGCTGTTTTGTGGATTTAGTTTTCTTGCCATCTTGAGATTAGTTTGTACTTTCATTTTGTTATTTTCTTTTTGTTCTTGTTATATAAGTTGCTTTAGATTTAGGGAAGACACCTATGTGTAACAGTCTGCTTGCACTCTAAAATCAGCATTGGATGCTCTCTGTGTGTGTACCTGTCTGTAAGAGCAATGAGGTGAGCAGACACAAGGGACAGAGTTTTCTCCATACTATCCTCCATGTGTGGAACTTGTTACCTGACCCTATCCACTTATTGGTCTTTTAATAAAACAAATGATAAGCAGACACCTTTTACCAAATCAAACTGAGGAAGATGTACTGCAGATAGGTGGTAATGCACATTAATAGTTTGTATTTTTTTAAAGTGCTGTGTTGTATACACAACATTTGTGGCTTCGGTAGTTGCATCTTTATTTCATTCTTTTTCTTCAGATTACAACTGATGGAAAACCCAAGATAATTGACATAATAGATACAACAGGCAGTGGTGATGTAAACACCTCAACTGTTACAGAACCAAAAGATGGAGAAATCATTGGTCTTTCAGGAAGAACTCTGAAGGTAATGGTTATTATGTCATAAATAGGATGGTTTCTTTTCATGCTAAATATACAGTTATTTAAATCAGTGGTTCTGGAGCAAGCCAAACCTGTGAAGATGGCTGCAGCCTTTTTACAGTGTGCATGAATATATATTTTCCTCCAATTTTAATTTAGTTTCAGACTTTTTGTCTTGAAATTTTTAGTTCCTGCATTTGTTTTTATGCCCTTTTTATATTTCTTTTTGCGTCTTAAAATTCACTTGCAACTAAATCATTAAATGTTACTTTTTGGGGGGCATTTCATTTTCTTGGAATTTAATTTTGTTTTCAGGGGTCATTGGATTTAAGTGTCTTAAATAAACAAACAAACAAACAAACAAATAAGATATCATCACCGTGGGGAGGGGGGCGATGATAACTTCCTCAATGGCTCAAGGGGGCGTTTCTTTCAAAAAGGTTAAGAACCACTGATTTAAATAATTTTGAACCTATGCTCTATAGTAATATTTAAAATCTATCATTCCAAATTTTCCTGCCCACTTATATCTATATAAACTTGTAATGGTCCAAGGGAGTTTACCTTCAGTTAGGTATATTGATCTCCAGCCTCACTTATATATCTGTCCAGTTTTCTTCATCTGCTTTTATAGAGGAGAATAGTATGATAGCTATTTTCCACAGAAGGAGGTGGGAAACGGTGTAGCATGCAAGTACAAGCTGAGAATCTAAATTCTGTTCTTAAAAATAGTTAAGGACAGCTTGGGTATTGTTTTCACTTATGAAAATCTGCTATAGATCTGCTTACTGCTGCTGTTCTGTGCATAGGTACCAGAGAATGAGCCACGTTGAATTTAGGGAACTTATGTGCCTCATCAGTTGAAGTGAACAGAAAAGCAAACGTATGGAAATCTCTAAACCTTTCCTTTTTTTCTCTCCAGGTCCCAACAGATTGGATAAATCCTTCTGGAAAGTATCACATTGGCTTAAAAAATGGTTATGACATCTATCCTAAAGCGCTTAAAGAAAGAATCCAGGTATTACCTTTTTGCATCTTGTAATTTTTGTTGTTGTTTGTAATCCCAGTGACAAACTATAGACTGGCATAGATTCTTGCATTTTCTCCTTTCCTTGTGTACTGTGATAGTTACCTCTTTTTATTCAGCATTACATTTAACTGGCAAATTATGTTTTGTGTTCATCTTATATCAAGTTTTTTTAAAAAAATCTTATTTGCTGGGCTTTGCCAAATCATAGTTTGCTGGTTCAGATGTAAAGACAAGCCATGGCTTTTGTGAAAGATGAAGAAAGAGAATCAGGGAGACTTGGAGTAAAGTATACAGCACGTTCATTAACACATGGCTTGTTAAATAGAAACAAAACCTCTACACCTGTACTTCACATTATTTTAAAAGGTTATTAACCTTTGCTTCTGTTTCCTTAGAACTTTGTTTTGTTCCTTGTGCCAGAGCAGTTAAAGCTAGAAAGTGGGCCAGGGCTTCCTTTTCTCACCTTTGCAGCTTGGCTTGATGCTTTTTAAATGTTGCACCCCTGAAGGCTGTTTTTATCACTTGGCTGTTTCAGCCCCAAAAATGGTGGAGTGGTATAATTGCACCCATTTTGACATCAGATAGGATACGGTTTGATTTGCTATGGGATAATGTTTGTGTGTACTAGAGCAGGGGTCCCCAACCTTGGGCCTCCAGATGTTCTTGGACTACACCTCCCAGAAGCCTTCACCACCACCTCTGCTGGCCAGGATTTCTGGGGGTTGAAGTCCAAGAACATCTGGAGGCCCAAGGTTGGGGACCACTGTACTAGAGAGTATCAGTATGTCGGTATCTAATCAAGTTCACATATAACTTCAGAAAGAACGCAAGGAGAAGCTTTGGGATCCTGCTCACAGATTGGCACTAGCAGAAGCTTGTAGGAAACAAGAGGAATTTGAAGCCGCTCACAGCACTCCATCACAGGTTTGGGCTAATTAAAAAAACTTTTTTCTGTTAAAAAGATCTACATTTTAATGACAGTTTATTTCAGAAGCAAAGAAAATTAAATCTTATTTGTTAAACGTTACTTTGGCAGAATGTAATTGGCTTTAAACATGTATTGCCTTCTTAAGCTGTAGGCTGCTTTCACATAACAAATGCCTGCTTAGAGTTTAGAAGTAAATACATAGATCATTCTAAGTGACAGCTAAGTACTAAATAGCTGCTAAATTATGTTTGCGTGGATTAAAAGTAAAGTCTAAATCACTCAGAGAGAAGGTAAGAATGAGAACTAAATAGCTTTAGCAACTTCAATTTTATTTTTTCTTGACCTGCTCTTTGATCCAGCTTTGTTCTGCCAGGTCAGAGTTATCAATAAAAGCATATTTTACCATTTGTATTTGTCATACCAGTTGCTACTGGAAAATGATGAATATCAGTTTAACATATGAGATTACTATAGTGTAATCTGTATGGAACTGCCTATTGAAACAGTATAAAAACTTGTTCTTGGGTAGTGTTAATCATAGAGATTATATCTTATTTTTGTTTGTTCACCTATAATTGGTACTAATAAGATTTCAGTTACTCAAGGGGCTAGTGCTGACTTCTAAAGTCTTGGTGGTGTAGTTTAATTTTATTGTGTGAGTTGTCTTACGTGATCATTTTTATTTTATTTACATATTTACTTTCGAAACAGTATATTAGTACACTGTTGTATTATTGTGTTTCATTTGCTTAATACTGACTGAATAATTTGTTCAACTCCTCAGTGTAAGGTGCCTTAAATGCCTATTGAATATTTATTTAGTGATTTATAATATTTTTACTCCACCTTTCTATTTAAAAAAAGAAGGCAACTTACATCATTAAAATACAATATTTAAAGCTAAAACTAAGTATACAAATACTATAAAGGATCAAACAAATGCCACACTACAAATGGTAAAGAAAAGCAATACCAAAAACACATTCAAAGCAGTAATGCACAACAATCCATTCAGAACCCTCGCTCAGGTAGCTAGTTACTAAGGATAAGCTTGCCTAAAGAGTAAAGTCTTTTCTGCTTGAAAGAGAACAGCAAAATGGGGCCAGTCTGGCCTCCTGTGGGAGGGAGTTCCAAAGAGCAGTGACAAAAGGCCGTTTCTCATGTCCCCACCAAACACACCTGTCGTGGGGCCTAGAGAAAGGCTAGAAAGATGCGTTAGGAATATGGCTTGCTTCAAATATCAGGCTTTGGCTTTGAATACAGATTCAAGAACTTTTTCATCTTTCAGGAAAGCAAACTAATGAAGGAAGAGTTTCAAAGTCAAGTGGAATTACTAAATTCTTTTGAGAAAAAATACAGTGATCCTGGCCCAGTATATGATTGCTTGGTTTGGCATGATGGTGAAACCTGGAGGTAACCTTTGTCTCTCTTAAGCTATCTATTATCTTTAATGAGTTATCTCGTAGTACTTGTTTAACTTTGTCCTAACCTAGAGGAGGAGGTGGGAGGTAGACACACAGGTAAATGGTGCTTGTGAAATTGCACTGATACCTCCCACTACAGCGTTATGGAATTTTTTGTTCTCCTCCTGTTTATGGAAACAGATGGCAAGTGCTGCCAACAAGGAGGAGAAGACAATGAACTGTATGTGTATTTCTGTTTGAGTGAGTTGCTTATTTCAGAATCAGCATCTCCCATCTTCTCCTTTGTGGAGCTTGTATAGATAGACTGGTAGTGATTTAAGTTCACATATTAATTATAACCAACAAAACCCTTAGTCGAAGGGTCCTAACTAGTATGGTGTGTACAGTGGTGCCTCGCAAGACGGTTTAAAAAAAAAGTCTTGCAAAGCATCGGTCTCAAAAAAAAGTCTTACGAAGCATCAGTCTCAAAACAAAATGTCTTGCGAAGCACCATAGTGATTGCAAAAACCAATCGTCTTGTGGGTTTTTGGTCCCACGAGGCAATCGTCTAGCGAGGCACTACTGTATCCAGTTTCTCTGAGTATCTGCAATTCTGAAGTCACCTTAAGTGATAAGAAATAGTACTGACTTTCTTTCTGAGTTTTCTAGTTTTATGGAGTGCAAGGAGTCAAATCATAACAGTTTTGACAGTATACCAGTCTGTCAGAGCACTGTCTTGTAAACAGGACAGATCAATACAGGGAAGTGATTCTTACCTTACTGTATGACTTTTGAATAGGAGGTAATAGGAATTTTGTGCCAGGACTGCTACATTATTCAAAAAATGAAGAACCAGCTTATAGCCCTGTGTGATGATGATTATAACCCAAATATTTTGGGTAACACTTCAAAAAAGTATTTGTATTCTTTCTGGAAAAGAAGTGGGTACTATAATGTGTACATGTTTTTCCCCCTCAATTCATAGAGCTTGCATAGATTCAAGTGAAACAGGTGATTTTTCTAACTGCACTGTTCTGCGGAACTACAAAGAAGGTCAAGAATATGGATCTTTTGGCACATCAGAGATGTTGAATTATTCTGTCAATATTTATGATGATGGGAACCTTCTCTCAATTGTGACCAGTGGAGGTAATATTAATCTTATTAATGTAGTTCCTGAGAACAGATTTTCTGTCTTCCTTTTGCTGAAGAATAGAATTTTGAGAATCAGAAAGTACAACAAAGAAACCTGTTGTTTTTCACTCTCAACCAAACAGATCTATTCTAGAAATAGGAAGGGATGTTGTTGGACATATTCAGAGTTTCTGAGCATATTTAAAAGCCATGTGCCATATATGGGGAGGATTGGGTGTATAGGAATGTTTATAATACGTTCAAAGATGTCCTAACATGCAGAGTTCTATGCCTTTGATTCACTGTGAGCAGTTGTCCAACACCATTCAGAAAAGACAACTCAAGGGAGAAAAGCATGAGCTATATAGACAATACAATCTCAGAATATCTGTAAATAATGCCTTTTAGCATTCAGTGATATTCATGTGGTATTAAAACAGTATCATCATTAGCACGCCTGGTTTGTAACTGACAATTTTCTTGTGGAGACTTGTATAGACAGGTATAAAATGTGACTAAAGAATTTCACATTGATAAGAGAACTTCTATATTACATAAGTATTTACGCTCTATATGGGGACCCAAGACAACAGATGAAGTGATTAAAAACAGATATAGAACTTGCGCTATTGAAACTTAGTAAATGTACTAGCAGCTACCAATACTTAATTAAAACAATTGAAAAATACATCAGATCAGAAAAAAAGTAAGAATTGCAGCATTCTCCATTTTTAAAAGCTCTTTCCTCAGTAGTCACCTCAGTTGCCCAAAGCATGCATGAAGGGAAAAATTTGCCAACTACTTTCAACCAGAATGGTATGTTCTGCTCTTGTCATTTGGATTGTATGTATCCTTGCAGGAGCACATGGAACACATGTTGCTTGCATAGCTGCTGGATATTTCCCAGATGAACCTGATCGGAATGGTGTGGCCCCAGGTGCACAAATTCTTGCAATAAAGATTGGTGATACAAGATTGAGCACCATGGAAACAGGCACTGGCCTTATAAGAGCTGTAAGTATTGATGGAATTACTGCATGAAAAGTTCTTCAGAGGGTAATCGCACTGTTTAGTTGCTGGAAAAACTAACAAAAAGACTTGTGGTGCTTTGAAGGCCTTCTTACTGTATAATAACATACATTTTCATGGAGTATAGACCACTTTATTCAATATGTCAGAACTTATGGACTGAAGCTCACAAGCCCTAACCTATAGTATAGGGTAAAATGTTAATGCCTAGTCCCTATGAATAAAACAATTCATTCATTCTTCTACTACCTGCTTCAGCAGTTATACCAGAAAACTGACTTATGAGTAGAGATGGGGTTAATGCCATTAACGCCATCACAGGTGGCATTAATGAGGGTCCAGCCCCAGGGGGCTGGACAGTCCACTCATCAATCTGCCGCAGATGCGGACCTCGTGATCCACTCACCACTCCTGGCAGGAGGGAGGAGGACAAGCCTCGTTGCAAGGTCAAAGAGTCGTGAGTGGATTGCGTGCCGCAGAGCAACTGGTAGAATCACACTGTCTGTGTTTGCAGCGGATCGGTGAGTGGACTGTCTGGCCCCATGGGGCTGGACCCTTGTTAATACCACCCCATCTCTAGTTATGACCAGTCCAAAAAAGTAGTACGCTAAATACAAAGTGGGTAAGGAAAAATAATAATGGCACAGTCTTTTGTCATTTTGGAAAGCCTTTCTGAAAAAAAACCCCGCAAATGTACCATCTAGTTTGACACTTCATCCTTGAAGCACTGCAAGATTATTTGTTGTTTTTGCTTAGAAGAGCTATCCATAGAAAGACATAGCCACATGTATAATTCCAGGAGGAGTACACAGAATGATTTCAGACTGCTTGTTCATCGAACTGCCATTTTTTGTGAAAACAATATTAGTTTAATAAACTTTTCAGATGTGAGCTAGTATGCTCCTTTCAGAAATTTACAGCTAGGTCATTAAGCATGTGAATGTACACAAAGGTGGACTCAAATTAGATCCAAGCAGTAGCTGCAATGGCAAAGGGAGATAGGCTACATCCAACTTGATTTAAAAAAAGCTTTTTCAATGCAGAATGCTGAAATCTCCCCAGCCAAATTACAGGGAGGAGGGGTACACTTTTGGTTAATATTGTTAGCATTTTACCTTGCTATTAAAATGATGAGTTTTCCAGATTGGTTAATGTGAATCCATAAGCAAGCATGGCCATGATATTGCTACTATGCAGGTTGTCTGTCCGCACTGAAGTATATGAGATGTTGTAAGAGCTGTCAGGAAAAACTTAAGAACTGAACTTTTTCCTCACTGGCCAGTACACTTTCAGGCTTCCCCTTCCAGGTCATCCTTGAGAGACTGTTTATTGCTTCTCTTTCCCATTGCCCGCACTGTTCAGTTTCAGCTTCTTATCCAGCAAGTGCTATATAAGAAGTGCTAAGATATTCTACATTTGCAAGATGTTGAGAAGCAGCCTGAGTGGTGCTTCAGTCACTGTGGTATCTGCTATATTTGCTAAACCCTCCAGGTTGTCTTTTCATTGCAGTGTACAGTATGGGAAGGGAAGTAATCATGGGGTGGAAGGTTTAGCAGTGCAGCAGCTACAGGGCACTGGGAATGAAAAAGGACAGAGGCCAAGCAAAAGGCTGCACTGCTCTAGGCTTGAAGAGGAATGTTCACCACATTCTGATCCCTCTTCTAAAAGATTGCTGTGTGCCTGAGGAAGCTTTTGTGGTTTTGAATCCATGCTGTTGTAGAAATTCTGTCTTCAAAGTACCATGACACTTTTGTTCCATTAATAGTAAATGAAACAGTCATACCTGTTTCTAAAAAAAACAATCTCATACCCACTGTAGATTTGCTAGTACTGTCTAGTAGCTCAGTTTAACCAATCATTTTTGTCATCTGCATTGCTTACTGTTTGACTCTTCAACAGATGATAGAAACAATAAAATACAAGTGTGACCTTGTCAACTATAGTTATGGAGAAGCAACTCACTGGCCAAATGCTGGGTGAGTAGACTACTTTTTTGTGTCCTTTTCCCCCCGAGGAATGGCCAACCTGTTCAGTTGCAAATAGCGGTTTCAGTGCCTAGTTCTTTGGATGTTGCATTCTGATTCAAGCACAGGACTATTGTGCTTAGATTAGGATGATTAGAGTCCATGTGAGTCTTGGTGAAAAAGTTGTATGCAGTACTGTACTATAATATCAAGGAACCTTGGAGACCTGGGGGAGTATTTCACAACTTTTGCTCATAAGAACCTCAAAGATGTACTAGATTAGGTCTCTCTTGTCCAGTGTTCTTGTTTCCACAGTGGCCAGCCAGATGTCTGCTGGAGGTCCTCAAGTAGGATGTAAACTTAATAGCATCTTCCTTCTACTTACTAGTAACAAATACTTAGAGGCCTGCTGCCTCTGATCCTGAAGATAATATATGTCCTATCCAGACTAGTATATTTTATAGCCTTTATTCTTATGCATAAATTTAACTTAATATCCTTTTACAACTATTCAAGTTGGTGGCTATCACTATGGTCCAAATGTTGCTGGATTGTAATTGAAATTAACTCTGACTAATAGCCATTCTGACTTAAGATAGTGTGGACTATAGTGCAGCAATATGTGGGGATAATTATGAGCTAAGAAATTAAGGAAAGATCTATAGTAAATGAGCAGGCATTGACAATACAGTAGATTTCCTGATGCATTAGACACATTAGCTAACCACAGAAACGGAAGAAAACTGCAAGAGTATTCATTTGATAGGATATCTTGAAGACTGTGGTTGACAGTGCTGTTGAAGCACACTGTTGTTCATTGTCTGGAAATTCTCTCTGAAGGAATGACACCTTTGTGTTTCATTTTAAGCAGTGTCCCTTTTTCTTGCCAACTGATTTGTAGTCTTTATTTTGGTTCATTTCCCAAACTAGTCTGTGATGTCCAGGCTTCGTACGTCACTTACTTGACCAACTTACTGAGTAGAGGTTTTGGCTATATTCCTTAAGGCTTCTTAATTCATTGGGCCAGGTTGTTCATCAGCTATGACTTTTTTGAAACTCTGTGGGAACCCCTGCTGATTCTGCAGCCTAGAGAGATATGCTGCTTTGTAAATGGAATTTATTGTCAAAAAGTTGGACAATATGTGGTAAATAACAAAGCTGGCCAGTTGCCTCATGGTGTGTTGTTCAAGAAGACTCATGCATGTGGAGATCTCTAATGAAATCTTTTAGGAATATTTTTGCAGGTTGTAGGTGTAATAGAAATAGAAGGAATTCTTCAGTCAGTTTTTGTTCTCTTGCATCTCTTCTAGGAGAATATGTGAAGTAATTAATGAAGCAGTATGGAAACATAATGTAATCTATGTTTCAAGCGCTGGGAACAATGGCCCTTGTTTGTCTACTGTTGGATGTCCAGGTGGAACTACATGTAGTGTGATTGGCAAGTATTTTGATTTATGTAATAAGCTTCATAAGAATCAAGTTACAATTTTTACTGAGGCTAGAAGTAAACTTGAATAATGAAATATAAACAGAGTAGAGATCTGACTAGTCTAGCACCTTGTTCCCATAGTAATCAGTAGATGGGAACCCCATAAACTGAACATGAGTGCAGTAGGATCCTTCTGCTCATGTTCCACAGGAACTGATATTCACTGGTTTACTAGCTCTGATGTTGGAGTAATGTAGCCATCCCAACTAGAACTATTTTCCTATCCTCATCCTCCATGAACTTCTCTAATCCTGAAATGGGCAATCCTTGCTACATCTTGTGATGGCAGATTATTGAAAATATGTGGTATGTGAAAAAGCACATCTTATTGTAGCGATCAGATTTGAGTGTGTCAAGGAAGTGGAGAGCAATATCTTTAATAGGCTAGACTCTGTTATGTGTCTAGGCATGCATTTGGGGGAGAGGGTAGCATTTAATCTTACTCAAAATAAGCTGGTAGTTGTGGCTGAACAGTAGTTGATGTGATGTGTTTTCTTTGTTCAGTCTCAATGCAGATTTCATCTGCAAAAGTAGTGCATGATACTGGTTATATGATACTGGTTATATGATACATGATACTGATTTCAACAAGGTCCTTGACGGCAAAGGGTGTTAACAAAATATTTATGTAACTCTTGTATAAAACTTCTGAACACATGTTCAAGAGGTTCAGCATTTGCTAGCAAATCTTATTTCTTTGTTACTGAGGCAGTCTAATGGAAATGGATCAAATTGAAGAGAAGTCTTAGAACTGGTTATGTTGAATAGGGAGGGAGAAATAGGGAGGATTAGTATTGGGATGTTTCAGTTACTTTGACTTTCAGTGTTCTGGCATAAGGAAATTGAAACAGTTTATCTAATGTTTTGCATCCTCACATCATAACCATAGCTAATTAAGATTGGTAAGGAGAACTTTGAGGACTATTGTAGTTGTATATGATGGCTCAGACATGTGCCAAATAATTTTATAGGTGTTGGTGCTTACGTATCACCTGACATGATGGTTGCTGAGTACTCACTGAGAGAGAAGCTACCTGCAAATCAGTACACTTGGTCATCTCGAGGGCCTAGGTAAGTGATGATTCACCTTGCACTATTTGTGTTATCGTCATCATTTAATCGTGTCCGACTCTTCGTGACCACATGGACCAGAGCACGCCAGGCCCTCCTATCTTCCACTGCCTCCTGGAGTTGTGTCAAATTCATGTTGGTTGCTTCGATGACAATGTCCAACCATCTCATCCTCTGTTGTCCCCTTCTCCTCTTGCCGTCACACTTTCCCAACATCAAGATCTTTTCCAAGGAGTCTTCTGTTCTCATGAGATGGCCAAAGTTCTGGAGCCTCAGCTTCAGGATCAGGATCTGTCCTTCCAATTCAGCACATGTTAGCAATTTGGTCTCTAGTTCCTCTGCCCCTTCGGAATCCAGCTTGTACTTCTGGGAGTTCTCGGTCCACATAATGCTGAAGCATTTGTGTTATGCTCTAGGCCTAAGTGGCTTCATGTAGTGCCAGGTTATGAGTTAGAAGCTATACATCCATGTACATATCCTCAGACATGGAAAACCTTGTCTTCCTGCTAACTGAAGCTGGGGAATGAGATACATGGAGTGAGGGAGAGACTGCAGAATGAACAAAAGAGAGGGAACTGGATACTGTAGGGGGTAACAGGTAAATTTAAATGGTTAAAATAAATAAACAATAAATACATTGTATTCGCGAAGGCTTTCATGGCCGGGATCTAATGGTTGTTGTGGGTTTTTTGGGCTTCTTGGCCACCTTCAGAACACGGCCAAGAAGCCCGAAAAACCCACAACAACCAATAAATACATTCTTACTGCATTCATCTGTTTGTCTCCATTTCAGTACTGATGGAGCCCTGGGAGTGAGTATCAGTGCCCCTGGAGGTGCTATTGCATCTGTCCCAAACTGGACCTTACGAGGGACGCAGCTTATGAACGGTACCTCGATGTCTTCACCTAATGCATGTGGTGGCATTGCGTTGGTACTGTCAGGTAATATGGAACACCACCCTTTCTTTAAATAAATTGTATTTTTGAAACAGTATTCCATAATTCATTGAATCTACTAATAAGAAACATGTCTCTGAATTCTTCTTTTATATATAAATATTGCAGGTCTCAAGGCTAATAATGTGCATTACACTGTTCATTCCGTCAGGAGAGCTCTAGAAAATACTGCAACAAAAGTGGAAAACATACATGTATTTGCCCAGGGGCATGGTATTATTCAGGTAATAGAAGCTGACACTTGAAACAATTTGAATTATTGTTATGAGTGCTTCTTCACCAGTCTGCTAGGTCAGCTGAAAAATAAATTATTTTTATTGATGGCTGGTATGCTTAATGGCCCATTCTAGTATTTGTGCTCTATGTGCTTTTATTACTGCATCTGCCAAATTATACTTGGATTGTTTCCTGTTTTGCTTCCTTTTTCACTAGCCTGAAATAAAGTGACTTGCCAGCCAAGTACTGGAGTCCCAAAAAATGTCCTAAAACAATTAGCTGATTTGAAGTGTACTGAAGTCAGGAAAATGTGCCTAATACACATGTTGCTTGGATGCACTTGTTGTAGTGATTTGCCTATTAGCTTCTTTTTACTTTGTTGCATGTAAGTTGTTTCCTGTGGTCTTGTTTTATTTGTAGTACTTCTCAATGGTCTTTTTATACTCTTAACACCAAGTGAAGTGTTGTCCTGCAAATGCTTAAATGAAAATCCAGTTGAACATAGTAGGCGTATATCCATAAGATTGCAAAGGTGCCAGGATTTCTAAAAGATTCTTGTTGTTAAAATGTGTAATTCTATTGCATTTCTCACATTATGCCTCACAGAAAACATGAAAACCCTTTTTTCAGTGTCATGTTTTTTTGAAACTATTCAATAGCAGATTTTTAAAAAAGGATGCAGTTTGATAGCCGTCACAGTATTACAGAATTGAAGTACAGCAATTTAACATTTTTCTGAAAACAGCAGCACAAAAGGGTCAAATGGTAACATCAGTCCAGACATAAAATAACATCTGCTGTGCTAGTCAAGGTCAACAAAGCCATTCTATAAAAGAATATTTGCAACCTCCTTTTCAAAGGTTGCAGTGCCGTGGCCAAATGGTATTAGTAGTATGCATCCTATAGGGGCTCTAGTGAATGGCATGGCTTGGTATCTACCTGCCAGATTTGTAATGGGAAGGGTTCTTCCAAAGAATTTGATCTATGGAAAATGTTTACCTTGTCTTTGAATAGTTCATTGGGTTTGTTTTTCTTCTTTCTCAAATTAGGCTGTGAAAGAGAATGCACTTTAAATACTTCCAGAAACACAGTACTACAAAACCCCACATTTAATGCTCTCCTGCCACCTTAGTCTTTATGTGCAAGATGGGGTCAAGTAGGATGTTTTGAAATATTTCTGAACAATGTTTTGTACTTAAAACATTGGAGCAAACAGTGTTTTGGGTCTACTGCAAAAATAATGATTTTTATGCGGACATGGGCTTCATAATCTGCTGAGAGGAATCAAGGAAAATCTTAACCTGCTTTCCAAAGCTTTAAACAAATTCCTTTTGACTGTGTTTTTTCTCAATAGGTTGATAAAGCCTATGACTACCTCATTCAGAATACATCATTTGCTAACAGTATCGGTTTCACTGTTAGTGTTGGCAACAACCGTGGTATCTACCTCAGAGATCCAGTTCAGGTAGCTGCACCTTCTGACCATGGTGTTGGCATAGAACCGTTCTTCCCTGAGAATACAGGTAAGAACACTTGTCTGATTTTTTTCCAGAGGTATGTAATAGGAAGGTATGAGCAAAGTTTTAAAAATTTGCCATACCAAAAAACTATAATACAAGATATTTTTTGAAAAATCTTTTCAAAGCTGTTTAATAGTCAAGGATTCAAACTGAGTTTTGCACATTTTTGTTTCAGAAAATACTGACAGAATATCCCTCCAGTTGCATCTGGCTTTAACTTCAAGTGCATCCTGGGTTCAGTGCCCTACTCATCTGGAGCTCATGAATCAGTGTAGGCATATTAACATTCGTGTGGACCCACGTGGCCTACGAGAAGGAGTTCACTATACAGAGGTATTGTCTCCCATAGGTTTTGTTTGTTTGTTTGTCTGGTTTGTTTTTCTGATGTCACAGTTTTACTAATGAAAGCTTCATTTCCATTCTCTATGAGTCAGGTGTGTCAGGTTCTGTCGTTGATGGATAACTGTACTCCTCTAACCATCTCCTCTTAAAGACCTAGAGAGAGATCTGTTCCAGTGGTGCCTGCTATCTGACTTTGACTGGAACTGCTTCAAGGAGTTAGTTATATAGGGTGGGTTGGGAATTGCTGGTTTTTTGAGCTTTCAGTAGATGGGATTGAGGGAAAGGATTTGAGAAAGACCAATCAGTCTGAACTGTCAAGCCCCTGGACCATCCGTCAAACATCCCAGCTTATATGTTCAGAAAGAAATACTTATTTTTTTTAAAAAAACGTTGAGTAATTTGAGTACTGAACTTAATGTTAGGCCTCATAGAAGTACAAAAATAATAACTTTAAACAATAAATATTGCTTACCTATATATTTTTTAACACCAAAGCTTATTTTTAAGCATAATGACTCAATTTTGTTGCATTTAACATTTTCAGGTGTGTGGTTATGAAATATCAATGCCTAATGCAGGTCCTTTGTTTAGAGTTCCAGTAACTGTGGTTAAAACGGCAAAGTAAGTGAGTTTCACATTATGAAAATGTTTTAAGCAATGTTTTGAAAGAGATCTGGCTTGTGTTTCTCTATGTAAGTTCCCAGTGCTTATAATAAACAGAAACTGGGTGTCTTACCTTCCTGTGCTGCAGTTATTAAACTACAAGAGTGATATCGAGTGTAGTCTGCAGATTAAAGAACTGGGCTTGTATACAGTACAGGAAAACTGGATTTATGGCTATGGTGTGAAGTAGTCTCATATCTCAGCCTCACGCTAAGTTCCATAAAATGAGAAAAAACTCCTCTCAAGTGCTTTGTGAGTTAGTAGTAACAGTACAGAAGGAAGACTGTTGGTGAATCATAACCAAAGATCTCTGTTAGCTCAGAATGTTGTTTATCAGCAGTGGCTGAGGTGATGAGTAACCTCCCCATTATACGTCCCCAACATCTGATATTCAGTAATAGTTGAAAGGAAAGCCTCTTTATGGTGTTTATATAATACTTTTGACATTTATATTTTATGAGGTGAGACATGAAGAAATAAAGACCACTGCTTGTTTTGTTTTGTTTTTGTATAAAAAAAACAAGTGTCAAAAGCCAGCATTGTTAGCTATTTTCCATCAAGCTACAGCTTGGTTCATGAGTACACATGTAATTTTAACAAGTATCTTAAGCTCATTATGTCATGCAGAATCAGAGCCTGTTTTCAAAAGGGTTTTTTCCCCTTATGCATTTATAATAACACGGGTTGCTGGCCCAGGACCTCTTTAGCAATACATCTATTCCAGCTTGGAAGCAAGGTGGTTTTAAAACCCAGTCTATTTCTGTAAGAGTTTTCTGCACCTTCTAAAATACATTTTTTTCTATTCACAGGACAGATGAAGCTTCATGCTATGATCTCAAATTTACTAGTGTTCATTTTAAACCTGGTGAAATCCAAAGGCATTTTATTGAAGTTCCTTCTGGAGCAACATGGGCTGGTAAGATGAATAAAAGTAAATTCTGTTGAAATCTTTGAGAAACTTACTAGTAGAACAAATTGACATTTGTTAGTGGGAAATGCTTGTACAGTTTAGAGCCTTCTATGGTTTTTTCTTTGTCATTGTATTTAAATCTGAGTGAACAACTGTGATTTTCCAGGCATTGGACTGCACTTACCATCAGCCCTGGGCAGCGTATGGGTACTGGAAGTTGAGTCCAATAACATATGTGGAGCCACAATTGCCCACTTTTGATCCAGATTATAGGTGTCATTCTTTGACTCAGTGCCTGCTTCAGACCTCTGTAGATACCATTGTATATATTAGCAAGTATTTATTATTTTATTTTATTTTATTTGTACCCCACCTATCTGGTCAATACGACCACTCTAGGCGGCTTCCAGACAGGTAAAAATACAAAAACATATACATATAGCAAAATAAAAAAGTTGCCTTGCTGGTATTTTAGTTCTTCTGGCTTACAGTAGCTACTTTCAGAGTAAATCAAAGGCCAGTATAGAAATAATCCTAAATTGTCCCTTTTCCTCTTGCCTAGAAGTAACAGTATGCTCATCATCATCAGATGTGACTGCCAAGTTTGTCCTCCATGCTGTTCAGCTAGTAAAGCAAAAGGCATACCGAAGCCATGAGTTCTACAAGTTTTCTTCAATACCAGAAAAAGGATCAATTACGGAAGCATTTCCTGTTTTAGTAAGTTGCCTTGAATTTTAAAAAGGAAGATAAATGCTGCTATATGCCATTCTCCAAAAATGAGACAATGTTGAAAAAGCAAGTATGATCTCTGGAGTAATGATCTGGTCAGAGGTATCAACTGTTACATACAGCACTGATGTTACCTGTCTGTCATGGGTTTGGAGGGAAAGTTCCATCCTATGGAGAGTGGAAGGCGGGACATCAGGAGGAGGGGCTGTACTGTATAAATATGTGATGCCTGGGTGGTGAGAACACACACACTAATGAGACACTAAGAGACACTGGGGTGTGACGAAGCAGCAGCTGGGAAGAAGAAGCTGTTGTGGGAGTCTGTGTGTCAGACAGGGTACTTCTGTGTGTCAGAGTACCAACCTGATAGGTTCAGGTGTCTGTTGGTTAGCCAGAACTGATAGGTTCAGGGTCTGTGCTTCAAGTTAAGGGTTCTGGGTGAACCAAACTGTATGCTTGTATGAGTAAGAATAAGCCACGTTACTTTATTTTATTCACCTGATTGTTTTATTTTCCCTGTGTGTATTTGAAATAAACCTTATTCTTTTTATTGTTTAAAAATCCATCCCTGGTCTGTGTGACTTCTTAAAGGGAATGGTTCGTGGCAGCTTAGTGTAACTGTGTGACAGATCCCAGTAGGTCTGGGTTTGTCACATCAACGTAGATCCTTATTTTGATAGAAGAAATGTTAGAGGGTATTGGAGTAGATAATTTTCTCTCTCCGCACCCACAACTAGATACTCTCCTTCTCTCTAGTTCTTTGGAGCAGATATGTGAGTGGGTAGGAACTGCATGGGGAAGGGAGATCTATCACAGAGATCTTCTGATGTCCTTCTTCCACGGCTGCAAGGAGGTAATGAGATCCAGGCTATTGTTCACTGCTTAAATAAAATGGTCTGCCACAAAGTTTGATTACAAATATCCATTGAAATAAAGACTTAGATGATATCAGGTTCTCAAAAATATTGTACATTACTTCTGATGCTCACATTCATTTAACAGTACTAATAGGCCCAAAGGGTTTGTTCAATACTTTAGGTTAATGTAATGTTTCTCTGCTAGTGTATTGGGTTTCCTAGGGTAGAACTGGAGTTGGTCAGTGTTTGTACAGATTATGAAATTGGATTATTCAGTGAGGGGAATTTCCATGCCAGGAACCATATACTGTAGACTGGATTAGGGTAGTGTATGCTCCTCCAGACTGCACATTGCTCACCATCCTCAAGACTAAAATGAGGGGTAAAAGGGACTGCAATGAATGACTTCATTGAAACTTGTAGAAACCTCCTTGGGCTTAATCTGAAGCCATTTGTGTCACCTAGTGTTTTCTTTAATGAATGAAGTAGACCCAGGGGATATAAAATTCTATTTCTTTGACATGCATAGAAAGCAAAGATAGCCATGTTCATCTGTACTTAGTTTTTAAGGACCAGCCCAAATGTCTCAGTGTTTGTTGTCACCAAGCTGGCATGTTTTCCAGAATTTTTCATCAGGCTGGGAGGAGATAGGACAAATTTTTTACAAGTTTGGAATGAGGACCAGATGCTGTGGTTTTGTTTTGGATCCAAACGTAATGGGAGCTTGCAGGCTGAATGAATTAGTCTCTGCCAGGTGCTGGTGGTATTGGATTACAGTATACCTAGATATTTCTGTAGGGTAATGTAAAACGCTTAGATATGCCTGATGTTCAACCTGTGAAGATAGCTTTTCCCCTAATTTATAAAAGTTTTTTTCTAACCACTGTGATTTGCAATGTTTAGATGAAGGCTTTGAATTTACAAACTATACTATAAGGTGAAAATTAATGTACTGTAGAATGAGTTCCATAGGTGGCTTGTTTAGCCTTGTATATCTCAAATGTTTATTTTGTTTATATTGTTGATTCCGTTGAGATTGTATAATGTATCAAGATGGTAATTAGTCTTCCAACAAGCTGAATACATGAATCAAACTTCTGCATACCCGTTTCAGTATACTGTTATTTCATTGGTCCCCTGTTACAAGAGACATATACGATTACCTTTCTAGCATTTTATGCAGTCGGTCTTTAAGAGGTCTCATAATTTATCAGAAAGATCGTATGCACACAAGTTTTATCAAATACATGGACCTGTGCCAGTCATTTGGAAATGTTATGCAATACTGCTAGTTACCCTGTTTCCCTGAAAATAAGACCTAACCTGATAATAAGCCCTCGTATGATTTTTCAGGATGCTCGCCATATAAGCCCTATCCCAAAAATAAGCCCCAGTTAATTGAAGCCTTGCCCTCCACCATTGTGCAGTAACCAGAAGATGACATGACTGTATTTGAATAAATGTAGATTGTTGTACAAGAAAAAAATAAAACATCCCCTGAAAATAAGCCCTAATGTGTTTTTGGAGCAAAAATTAATATAAGATCCTGTCTTATTTTTTGGGAAACACAGTATATATATGTCTTTTTAATAATTAATTTGAATCACAACAGTAGCCAAAATTGGAGAGATTTAATGAAGAATAAGAATCAACATATGTATCCATATTTCTTTTTTCACAAAGGGTGGAAAGACAATTGAATTCTGTATTGCCCGTTGGTGGGCAAGCCTCAATGATGTCAGCATTGATTACACAATTTCCTTCCATGGCATAGTTTGCACTGCTTCTCAGTTAAATATTGTAAGTATCATTCCCCATTATCTTTAGTTTGCTTTGGTACATATTGTGGTTAATTAAAAGAACCAAGAACATCGGAGAGCGATAGGGTGGTCATAAGCAGTTCTGTAGTCCAGGTATATATTTCATTTACTATGAACCATTGAGAAAACAATGAGGAGTCATGAAAGTGACCATTATTTTAAGAACCAGACACCTCTGTTATGCCTGAGAGGCGAATTTCAAATAAGTTCTTGCAGAAGAGTTCATTGCATTGATGTATGGGGCTGAAGGCAATAGGTAAGACCAAACATAGTAGGATATTTTGATTTGGTGTTCTTCCTGCCAGTAATAAAGTCTTAGGGGAGAGTTTTTTAATAAAAAAATTCAATTTGAGAGGGGGAAAAAGTGCAGAAGCTGGGACCAAATGGCAGCATTATGATGTAGGGCCCATCACCGTCTGATGGAACCAAAGAGAACCAGATTTAGTCGCAGGGCTTTAGGGACCCTACTTCTGCATTGCCTTTAGGAGAGTAGCATGATGGCTTATTAAACCTTAGCCTTACTGATTTGTTAAGAAGTCATGTAGTATATTTGCCATAGGTGGAAGGGAGTGCTATAGCGCCCTCTTTCTTTCTTTCTTTCTTTCTTTCTTTCTTTCTTTCTTTCTTTCTTTCTTTCTTTCTTTCTTTCTTTCTTTCTTTCTTTCTTTCCGGTTTTCCCTCATGTAGAGAACAAGTCTGAAGAAGAAAATTTCTGACACTTTCCTATTTTGTTACTTTTAATAATTCAAAATAGAAAACCCCTGAATTCAGCCGTTTAACTTCAGAATAAATATAGTAACCATAAATGTGCAATGTATTTTACTTGATTGTTTGTCCACACAAGTTCTTGTGATGCTAAGAAGCAGCATTATGCAGCTGTTATGGCTTCTAACCAGCTAATGTCTTGACTAAAATTCCTTTTTATGTAAACTAGGGGTCCTGATGTTCTGGACAACTCCTATAGTCACCTTTTGGCTATGCTGAGTGGGCTGATAGGATTTGTAGAGTCGTATCTTGTCTGTTCTGGTGTAAACATTTATACTGTGTCAGCAGAAAAGCACAGTCTTTAGCAGAAACTAAGTCTTCACAGATCTTCTTTTTTTTTCTTAGCATGCTTCTGAAGGCATTGTGCGCTTTGATGTTCTATCAACGCTGAGATATGAAGATATTGCTCCTTGCATAAATCTCAAAAATTGGGTTCAAACACTGAGGTACATTAGCCAATTTAGATTTTTAAAACTGGGTATTTCTGTGCTTTAGTATAAAATTCACAGGAACAATGAAAATAATATTCTTTAGGACTATCTGTTTGCCCTATATTGACTACATTGCAGGCTGGATTTTTTAAAAAAAGTTAAGAGAGATATGTAAGAATGGTGCTGACCCTTTTTTATGCTTGTCTTAGCTTTGTAAACATCTTGTGAAAAAGAATGATTTATATCGGAGCAGAGTAGTTAAATCAGTTATAAGGCTAAAGTAATGAGATTTGGAAAAACAAAATGAAAATCTGTAATTAAACACAAAGTAGAATCACAACATTTAAACTAAATGATATACAGTAGAATCTATAACTAAACAGAAATTATAGATTTGAGTTTTGCTCATGGGTTGTTAGTGGTACCATAATTATGTGTATAAATTCTTCTTTAGAGCTTTCTGCAAAACTGCAAGAGTGTGTATCATAGAGATATTTCAGTTAGACATTTCTTGCATTGCATTTTCTCTTTCCACCTATTTGAAAAATACTTTGTATATGCCATTGTTTTATAGAACTAGACTAAAATGTTTACTTTTGACAATGACTCTCCATTGAGGTAGAGGTTAGCTATTTGTTTACTGTTGCAAAAAATATTCAAAAGTTTGGCTGAAATCTAGTAGAAAGTTAGAATTGGAGTAGGCTCATTGAAGAAGTGGGGATTTGTTGAGTCAACTCCTCCATAAGTACCATTGATTTACATGGTCCTAATCTAACTGATTTATTTTAGCATAGTAAATTGCAGTTGGAGTAGGCCCATTTAAATCAGTGGAACTTATGGAGGAGTTCACAAAATCCCCACTGATTCAGTGGGCCTACTCTCATCCAATTTACTACACTAAACAAAATAATTTTGGCCTTAGTCTAATTAGTGTAGTAACTATTATTACTTTTTTATTTACTATTTTGACATGAGGCTGTCTTTTAGAGACAACTCTGATGTCCAGAAATTAGATGGGCAAGATACTTCATTAATACTATTTTGATTGGCTTTTTGTTGTTTGTTTCTTTCTGAGATCAGTTTAATTGGCTGGTGTTAGCTTTTAAAGCCATACATTTTAGATGCAGGTTGTTTAGAGACTCTTAATCAGCATGTCTGACCATTAAGAATCATATTCAGAGGTCCTACCCATTATCCAGTCAATTTGTGGGATAAAGTCAATATATGAAATGGTACCTTTAAGAAATATTAAAGAATGTTTCTGTTTAGAGTTCTGCCATGCTGGCTACCTTATTATTTTCAAACATCTTTTGACAACTTCTCTGGTTTCTAAAGATTTTCAGAGTGTAACTTGAATTTGTAAAGTTTTCTATCAGCTACTTTGAAATCTTGTATTTTCTATGTTTCCTTTACTTTATATTACTTGAAGTTTGGTGAATGTTTTTCTCTTATTTTTGTGTGCCACTGTGAAGACATTGAAGAGAGATATGTGTGAAAGGCTAAGCTCCCTTGGCTTATGATTTCTTCCTGGGATTGCTCTATCTGAGCCGCTCAAGCTGGATCTTGTCTGGGATAGGTCCCCAAGTTCCCTTGTTATTGCCTTCCAGTGGCACTCAAAATTTAAAGCCGCAAATGGAGTCAACAATCTCAAGGGATTGAACCCCAGAGTTAAAACCAGCCCTGTTGAGTAGAACCCCTGCCACTCTAAATAATTCCATATTGGGACAAGGTGGTAGGGTAAATGTAAGTGCCAACTCTTCAGTCCACACTTTGAATAAACAGACATGTTATGGAGAAGATTTTATGTTTAGGGATAGAAAAATGCAGGATTAAAAAGAGGAATGTTTTTTGAAAAGAAAAAAAAACAAATTAAGGAAACACCTTGGAATAACTACGGCAGAGAAAAAAAATAAAGTCTTAACTAGCCTAAGTTTGTTGTATTGCAAATATAGTCAGGGCTTCTGATCTCATGTAGACTCATGCAGAAACAGGCAGAAGGAGTGGACTGAACATCTACAGGCCCAAGGCCCAGGCAAGTTCTTCACTTGCCTATTTACATACTTTAACTCCTGGAGAAAGGTAGCTCTTTAGTATTAGGCACTAGTCAGAGTAACCTTGTTTTGGTGGTGTTTTTTTGGGCAGAGGCCTTTCACAAGCTGGCACCCCAACCACAGTTGAGTCTCAAACCCAGAATGGAAGGGTTTAGATTCCTAAGTCTGTTCACAGCCACTTTTATGTTTCTTCGCATAAAGGTGGTGTATAAATAATATATCTAAATTGTATCTTGACATTGCATTCTGAATTATCTCCTAATGCTCATCATTGTATTGCTGAATTATAGACCGCTGAGTACTAAAATAAAGCCACTAGGATCACGAGATGTTTTGCCAAATAATCGACAATTGTATGAGCTGATTTTGACATATAGCTTCCATCAGGTAAGTGAAATCTGAAACTGAGGTGCTCAAAGAGGTAATGTTCCATAATGGCTGCCATTAACTTTCAACTAATAGTAAAAATTATGAATTTAATCTGCTGACAGAGGAGATTGTAGTGAAAAAATAAAGTGTCATTGTGATAAAATATAGATCTATCTTAAGGTGTCTGTACGAAAATTATTTTTCTTACTCAGTAATCTTAATGCTCTGACTGTTTTCTTCAGCCAAAGAGTGGGGAAGTTACACCAAGTTGTCCTCTGCTCTGTGAACTGTTGTATGAATCTGAATACGACAGCCAATTGTGGATTATCTTTGACCAGAATAAAAAACAGATGGGGTCAGGAGATGCCTATCCTCACCAGGTATGCAAAGATGTCAATGACAATACTTCCTTCATCTCTTCTGCTGCCTGTCTAGGCTCAGTCTGCAGTCTTTGCCACATATTAGCAAGTGTCTCTGCATTTTATTTATTTATTTATTCAGCATTACTTACTTTTAAGTCAGCCTCAGCAGAATTCAACTGCTTAGCTGAGACCTTCATTCACTAGCTGATTTTTTTTGCACACCTCTGTGTTGAGATATTATGGACAGTAGTTTATTAAATATTCTGAGCAGTGGTTTAGGTAAATAAAATGGTGTCCATGGACAAGCTGTGTAGCTCCAAATGGTTTAATCTAAATGAATCAGGAGGGGGAACCAGGATTTGTCTTTCAGTACAGCTTTGTACTCATGGTAGATGTGCTTTGTGAAATAATTTGCTAAATAAGGAATATTTCTCCTTTCCCTGTACACTTGCTAAGCCCCACTTAGGTTTCTTAATTTTGGATTAGAAAAGTGGGGGTGTCTTATTCATGGGGGCATCTTATACATGGAAAAATACAGTATCTTGCTTTGCTTGAGCTGGCACAGACACATCTGAACATTGAGTTCATGAATTATCCCAGTGAATCATTAATTTTTGGTTGCCAATCAATTTCCAAGAATACAGTGGTGCCTCACATCACAACGTTAATTCGTTCCAGCGAAATCGCTGTAGAACGAAAACGTTGTGATGTGATTTTAAAAAGCCCATAGAAATGCATTAAATCCAGATTAATGCATTCCAAGGGGCTTGAAACTCACCATCCAGCGAAGATCCTCCATAGCGCGGCCGTTTTCACTGCCTGTGCAGCGAAAACACAGCAGGTGCCCATTTTGTTTACCCGGCGGCCATTTTGAAACTGCCAATCAGCTGTTTAAAAAATCATCACTTTGCAAAAAGTTCGTCGTGATGTGATTTTGTCGTCAAACGGAGCGCCCGTCTTGTGGGGCACCACTGTAATTCAAGATGCTGTCTCTGACTCCAAAGGGGGGAGGGTTAGTTTAGTAGAGGGTATAGTTTAGGGTTTTTTATTCCTTTTTTTCCTGTTTTTGTTTTCTGTATGTTAAATTTAAATAAAAAATAAAAAAGATGCTGTTTTTAATATATAAAGTCTGAAGCGGCTTGAGTCCAAGCTGTCTCAGGGATCACCTCTGCCTTTACGAGCCTGCGTAGGTGTTGAAATCATTGTGGAAACCTTTCTCTGAATCTTACCATCCTCTCAGAACTGCTTTAAAAAGCTCTATTTTGTGAAGTGTGTATATTTCATGGCCTAAAGAAGTTCTGTTTTCTCTAGTATTCAGTGAAACTGGAGAAAGGAGATTATACAGTTCGGCTACAGATCCGTCATGAGCAGAGCAGTGAACTTGATCGTCTCAAAGATCTTCCATTTATCATCTCTCATAGACTGTCTAGTGCACTGAGTTTAGATATTTATGAAAGCCATAGCCAAGCTCTTCTAGGGAAAAAGAAGGCAAACAGCATGTCCTTGCCACCGAAACACAGCCAGCCCTTTTTTGTTACATCTTTACCAGATGACAAGTAAGTCATGCCCTTTTTCTAGCATGTGCACTTCCAGCATTTTAAACTGTTCTGAATGTTCAATACTAGGTATGAAAGTAGGTTCCCTTCTTTTCTCTGTTTGGTGCCAACCTGTTCTCCGATTCTGTCTTTTTAGGAGACAACTCTTTCAAATAGAATTGGCGAAGTGTTGCCATCCACTTCCTTTCTAGATCCAGTCATTCTCCTGGAGCAGCTTAGATCACAGATCTACTCTGTTTCTGCATAATTGGTCACCTTGGTGGATGACCTGCACCGTGAACTGGGCAGGATAATGTGTCCCTGTTAGTTCTGTTGGATCTGTCAGGGAAGGGTATTAGAAGTACTGTTTCATAGTGGTTCCAGTTCTTTGTGGAGGGCCAAACTCAGAAAGTGGTGCTGATGGAACCCTGTTAGACATCCTGGCCATTGACTTGAGACGTTTCCCAGGGTTCAGTTCTGGTCCCCATGCTGTTTGACATGTACATGAAACTGCTGGGAGAGGTTGTGTGGAATTTCGGGTTTTGATGTCATCAGTATGCGGATGAGAAACAGATCAGTCCTCCTTTCTGTTTGATTCCAAGAAAGGTGTTCTTCGCCTAGACCAGTCCATTTTCAATAATGCTGGATGAGGGCAAACAGACAAAACAGAGGGTGCGCCTGGTCAGCCAGAAGGTAGCTCAAGACAGGGATTCAGCCTGCACTAATTACACTGTCCTTGAAAAATCAGGTCTGCAACTTGAATATAGTCATGGATTGAACTCTGCGCTTTGATACAGTTTAAACTGGCGCGCCATCTGCCCCCCTTTCTTGATATGTCTGATCTGGCTATGGTGATACATCCCTTGGTTACTTCTCCTCTGGACCACTGTAGTGTAGGACTTGTGTTGGTGTTCAAGGTTCAGGTTTATAAATTTTGCTGCAGTACAGCCAAACATACTTGCATGCCCAGTTGGGTAACACCCTGTCACATTTTCCGGTCTCCCTGCTCTTTATATGATATATCAGGATTTTGTAACATTTTTATGTGTGGAGGAAGCTGTATAGCACTTAATCTTCATTGTGGTCTATATTATTTCCTTTGCTAGAGTGCCTAAAGGAGCAGGTCCAGGTTGTTACCTTGGAGGATCACTGACCCTTTCAAAGACAGAGCTTGGAAAGAAAGCGGTGAGTAAAAAAATTACATCTCTCAAAAGCTTCTGTATTTGGGAGAGGAAAGAACCCAGGAGTCACTCTGATTGCCTAACCCTTTTGATGAAAATATTTGAATTAATTTGACCTTCAGTTTTGTTACCTGTACTTTTTACTATTGTTGCAATAACGAGTGTAGTTTCTACTTTATCAGATGCTCTCAACACATGTCTTTTTACAGGCTTTGAAATATTTTGTCTACTTTATCCCAAACCATATTCCTGCATTTCACTTCCTGCAAAACATTATATGCTATTTAGCACCCACTGAAGAACACAAAGTAATGTCTCTTTCTGTCAGCCCTTAGAGATTGTCAGCTTCCAATATATTTATTTTATTTATTAGTTTTATTTATATGCTGCATTTCATTATATCTACTTTGCCTTACATATAATGTGAAGCTGTTAAAATGATGTCCCTTCTTGCTATGTAGAGAACTAGGAGGATTACATTGGACCTTAAATTAATTTTTAATGTGAAGGATTCAAGCCAGTTAACATTGAATTAAAGATGGCTGTACTATAGTAGAACTTGCTGGGTTATACCCAAACCTGTGATTGCAAAACACTAAGTAATTTTTAGACTAACCTGTTTAGTATTTAATTCATTTTAAAAGAGTTCCTTCATTCATATTTTAAAAGTAATTGTGATTAGTAAACATTGTTATAAATCCTTTCATGCCAAAATGTTATATAGTCATCCAAATGATTCTTCTACAATAAGATTGTAGGTACCATAGTTGAATAAGAAGTTTTCATAAGAAGTAAACTTTATTTAATAGAATGGAACTTTTTTTTACTTTCATATATTATTGAATATCTCTTCTAATAATCTTTCATCCCATTAGCCATGCTGGCAGTAGCTGTTGGGACTTGCATTCTGACAGCATGTGATGAACCATATGTTCCCCAGTTCTGGCTAAATATATGTAAGGGAGTTCAGAAACTTTCAGCAGGTGTTTTAGTTTATTTTAGACATTTCACTGGCTCTTCAGAAGATCTGGGAGGTCTTTCCAGTGGGAACTTATAAAAGTTTGTTTTAAAAACCACTCAGCAATTTCATATTGGAGTTGAAATTTTGCTGTGCTGAAGACCTGGTCCTGTATGTATTTGTGGAAAGGGAATAAGGGAACTAGTTGAATCTGCTGTCCACTGAGTCATGCAGTGTCAAAAAAGTGACATATGATATCAAGTCTGGAAAAACAGACTTTGAAGAAGTTCCACTGGAATTAGGAAGGATGCAACCCCTGTCCCCAGGATACCTCCTATTTGCTCCCTAAAAGGTGCTCCAGAAGACTGGGAACTCATTTGCCAAACAGCAAACTAGAGAGGCAAGTCAGGTCGAAAATTGCTTTTATACCTATATACGCATATTTGAAGGAATTAAACTTGATGAACATTATTTTGTTTAAAATAGCTGAGCAGGTTATCTTATGTCTCGTTTTATGTGTATTGGTTTGATGTGAAAGAATCTGAGTAGTTACATTAATGCAACAATGAAAGGAGAATAAATTTTAGCTTAGCGGTGAGTAGATCTGTGTACATTGTCAAGAGGCTGGATACATTAAGAGAGTTCATGTTGGCTTTATTTGATTAGAGATTTTGCATGGTCATGCAGTAGTGTGTTTGTGCACAGCACATTGAAGAGTACACAGTGTTATTTTATTCCTGTGGTCTGTTAAGTTATAAACTTAGTTTAACTAGTTTTGTAAAGGATTTAATATTTGCCTGCTTGGTTTACAAAACAGCATCCTACGTACGCAGGGATATTTTAATTGTATTTTTGAAAGCTTAAAATATTATTCTTTGTAACTATGATTTAATGGAAACAAGATGTTGCATTTCAGATCTCTTAGTAGGGAGAAAACTGTAATAGAAGGAGGTGTCTCCGTTCTATATAGTTCACGGATGTTTTCTTACAGTATGTTGTTCTAACTCCCAGGGGCAGTCTGCAGCAAAGCGACAAGGAAAGTTTAAAAAGGTACTGAATGTCAGTTTTTGAAAGATGTACTTAAGACTTTGTGCATATGACTTAAAGTATAATACCTAGCTATATCTTTGTGTCTTCAGTTGCCTTTCTACAGCTAAATGAATCATAAACATCAGTGACACTTCTTCACTAGAATAGTAACATATCATAGCAGTGGTTCTTCATCGTGGTCTTCTGTGAATGCACACAAAAGGGTTAACCCAGCACCAGCGTTGGTCCTCTCGGAACATTCTCGAGCTTTAAGAGAAAAGTAACAAGTGTAAGGCTGCCTATACTGCGCATGCTCTGCCCACCCAAGCCTCAGTTCCATTTTTCCGCCTAGCGATTTGGAACCTCTCGCTTCAAGCTCTGTTCTATTTCCCAAAATTCTAATCCTGTTTTTTTCGACTCGGACTGGACATCTATCTTGATAGAATTCTATATCCCTTGACGCGGACTGGTTTTTTAGACTTCGCTGTTGGTTTTTTTTTCCTCAACTTGGCTGCCTTGGTTTTTCCCACATTTTTCCCCGCTCCGTAACGGCTCCGCATAGACTTTACAGCCTATGCCGTCTGGCCCGTTCAGCCATTGCGTGGTCTGGTCCAGGAAGATTCCCCATCAAGACCCACATGATCGTTGCCTTTTTTGTTTAGGTGAAGCCCACCTCACAAAGTCTTGCAGACATTGTAAAACTTTCACGAAGGCAGCGCTGAAGGCAAGGCAGCAGTGTCTTAAGTATCATCTGTGGGAATCTACCCTGTCAGCCACTAAGCCATCGGATTCAGAAATGGTCTCACCGTCTGCAACACCCAGGTCCAAGGCGACTGCTTCCCCTCAGCCTGGTCCATCGAAGCCTTCAGCCAAACAAACTAAAAAATCGGGTCCTTCTAAGAAATCTGCTGCTAAGACGAAGACGGATTCTGCCCCTTCAAAACCTCCAAAATAAAGTAAGGGGAAACCTCCTGTCAAGTCCAAGAAACCTGTTATGCAGCTTCCCCCACTTTTAGAGTCCCTTCCATCTCCCATCTTAGAGGATTTGTCGAGGGACCGAGAATCCTTGTCGGAGGCAGCCCCTTCGCTCCCTCCTCGACAAGTTGAGCCGTCTATGCCACTAGGCGTCTCTTCACCGACGCCGAGTCAGCTCGTTGGCACGACCGCGGGTTTGACTTCTGCCCCACAGAGCCCGTCTTCTCATGGGCGGAGATCTCCGGCTCCACCGATCTCAACACCTCCTTCGAGGTTGAGATCGCCGCGGAAAAAGCGGTCTTCAAAGAGGAAGCACTGTTCTTCGACCTGATGCCGAATCAAGCATCGACGTCGGCAGCACTCCTTATCCTCTTCGACCGACTCAGAGACGCCCGACGTTGACGTCGTCCCAGTTCCTCCAGCTCCTCTTCGACTTCGACCGACCGACGTCGGAAACACAAGTGGATCAAATATGTTTATTTGTCATCCTCCTCGGACTCACCTCGACATCAACGTCGATGCTGAGAAACAGAAAAAGATCCAGCCACAGCCAGTCATGCCTATCTATCTCATCAGCGGTTCCTCTTCCTACTACTATGCCTCAAACACAACCTTCGATGTTGAACGTTAGGCTCGCCGTCGACAAACCACCACGCAAAACTAAGAGGGATGTCTTTTCCTCTGACCCTGACGAGGTGTCCTCAGTCCTGTCCTCCAATTCTGACCAGGACTTACCTGCACAGCCCTGCCAAGGTGGTCTTCCAGAAGGGGAAGTGGTTGGATCAGACATAGGTGATGCCCACGCTTCTTCACCGTCTGAAAACTTTCCATCCTACTCTCAGATGTTATTGAGATTGGCAAGGGCTCTCAAACTAGAACTTGATCACCCTACACCTCCTACGGAAGACCTCATCTTTGGTGATATCAAGGTCTCCACCGGCAAGTCTTACCTTTGTCCCAATTATTATGGACATCATCAAAGAGTATTGGGAACAACCATCCAACACACCTTCACTACCTCACCGGACAGAAAATTTCTATCGTGTCCATGGTTCTGATACTAAATTTCTACTCAAACACCCGATCCCTAATTCTCTAATTGTAGAAACCAGTTGCACCAAGCCCACTTGTAAATCTCATGTCACTCTAACCAATAAAGAGGGAAAAAAGCTTGAAATTATTGGGAGAAAAATTTACTCTTTAATTTCCTTTCTGCTGAAAGTGATTAATTATCAAACTGCCCTAGGAGCATATCAGAAACGGCTCTGGCTAAAGATTTTGCCTGGACTCAAGCTCATTCCAGAGGAAGTGAGACAAAGTTTCCTAAATTTTTATGAAGAGGCTTAGACTGTGTCTAAGCACCAGAGGTTGTCAACTAGACACACCGCAGAAGCCGCTGCCAGAGTCCTCATGTCTGCTGTCACCCTTCGCGGGCATGCTTGGCTCAGAGCTGCCAACATACTGGATGATGTGAAAAACAAGGTAGAGATCCTCTCCTTTGACGCCACTGGTCTTTTCAACGAAAAGACGGATAGCCACCTGGAAGAACTCCACAAGGCTAAAAAGACAACTAAATCATATTCTATCCAACCACAACCTCTTTACCATAAGTATCAATGGCGTAAGTCTTACGCCCAATATCAACAATCATCACAACAATTCAATCCATATAGAAACTTACCTCAACAGAGATCCTCTCAGGCTTCTTCTTCCGCACCCAGCTATCGATCTCAGCAGTCTCAGCGTAGGCAATCCTATAAGCCACCTGCCAAAAAATCCAAACAGTATCTTTGACTCTCCCATAAGCTGTTCACCAAACGCAAATGCTACAAGACTTCTACCATTTCTCTCAAACTGGATCACCATCACAAACGACTCCTGGGTTCTAAATATCATCGAACACGGCTACCGTCTAGAATTTATAGAGTTACCTCCCTTAGGGTATGTAAGTCATATGTCTTTCGATGTCGCTCTCGAAGAGGAAATTCTATCACTTCTACAAAAGGATGCCATCCAACCCGTCCCCATAACAGATCTAAGAAATGGATTCTACTCCAGGTACTTCGCCGTGTCAAAAAAGGATGGAGGAATAAGGCCAATTTTAGATCTAAGAATTCTAAACACTTACCTTCGTCCTCGGCGTTTTTGCATGGTGACGCTGGAGTCCATTCTGCCCCTGTTAAAGAAAAACAATTGGTTTATAGTCATAGATCTCAAAGACGCTTATTTTCATGTGACCAACCATCCACAGCATCGCAAGTATCTGCGCTTCTTTTTTCAAGGAACCATTTACCAATTCCTGGCCCTCCCATTCGGACTCTCGACAGCTCCCAGGACTTTCACAAAGGTGATGGCACCGGTAGCAGCTTACCTGCGCCTCAAGGGCATTCACATTTATCCTTACATAAATGATTGGTTACTGGTCTCTCAGTCAAAAAGACAGGCTCTCAAAAACACAAGGTTCGCCCTTCGATTACTTCCAAAGCTAGGACTTACCATCAACATGAAAAAGTCTCACCTCAGACCGTCCAAGGTGGTTCACTACATAGGTGCTCACCTGGACGCAACCAGGGCACGAATCTTCCTGCCCAAAGAAAGAATTTAGAAAATTCAAAAGGCTGTAAGAAAATTTCAACCAAGAGCACGCATAACAGTGAAGCATGCACAGCATCTCTTGGGCCTCATGGCCTCGACCACCCCGGCCTTGTCTCTTGTGTGACTCAAACAACGATCTCTCCAGTCATGGTTTCTTGCACTTTTCAATCCCATGACAGACAGCCAACGCTGCGTGTGACTCCAGAGCTTGCCAATCACCTCCAATGGTGGACTTACCCTCCACACCTGAAGATCGGCAGACGCCAGCCCAATGGGCTGTGGAGCACATTGTGGCCAACACAAGGAGCATGCTCTCTGGTCCTCCCAGGAAATCAACATACACATCAACAATGCACTGGCAGACCATCTCAGCCGTCTCCCACATCAAACACACGAGTGGGAGCTCAACACCCGAGTGTTCCACAAACTTTGTTACCTTTGGGGAACTCCCACTGTGGACATCTTCGCGTCTCATCTCAATGCCAAGTGCATCACGTATGCATCCAGAGCGGGGCTGGGCAAGGACTCTCTGGGGGATGCATTCATGATACAGTGGAATCAAGGCCTTCTATATATCTTTCCTCCTCTTCCTCTAATACAGAGGGCTCTCGTGAAGCTTCGTTACTCACCGGCAGAAGCCATCTTCATAGCACCATACTGGTCTCGACAAGTATGGTTTCCAGTGCTGATGAAAATGTTCTCCGAATTCAAGAGACTGCCAACATTACCCGATCTCTTGACATAGGATGCAGGCACAGTGTTCCATCCAGATGTGGAAACCCTGCATCTGACTGCGTGGAGGAGCTCCCCAAGGTTAAGGAGGTGTTAGACCGAGCTAAGAAGCCATCCACCACTTTGTTGTACAGTCATAAGTGGAAAGGTTTTCTTACATTTACTGAGGCTAAGGGTCTTGGACCATCCCCTGTGTCTCTTTCCAAGTTGTTGCAATACTTACGTTATCTGAGTCAACCGTTGTCTCTTCCTACCCTGTTTCCTGAACCTGCAACTGACACTGAGTGCATGCTCCATACTCTTGATGTCAGAAGGGCTTTGGCCTTTTATGTGTCTAGAACAAAAGACTTTAGGACCTCTAACAGGCTTTTCCTGTGTTATTTTGGTCACAAAAAGGGTTTACCCGCAGCACGTTCCACGCTCTCCAGATGGATTGTTTCCACAATTTCACTTGCCTATGAACTCCAACACAAGTCTCTGCCTGAAGGACTGCGTGCTTACTCTACCAGAGCTGCTGCGTCCTCCACTGCCCTGCTGTGTGGCATTGATGTACCAGACATCTGCAGAGCTGCCACATGGTCAAATGTGTCAACGTTTATCGTCCCATTATAGACTGGACCTCAGGGCCAAAAGAGAGACAAGTTTTGGGAGAGCAGTGCTGACGTCTGTCCTCCAGTGACAGCCCACCCTCCGGTGAGTAAGCTTGCTAATCACCCTTT